TAGCTGAAATAAAATACAGAATAACTATAGTATGATGTTTACATTTTCCAATGAAAATTTTTACTATAAAGTAGTGTCTAGTCTGGGAATATTTTATTTTTTTTTTGCCAGAAATAAAAGAAAAGCTTTGAATTTCTAGTGAAAATAAATTTTAAAATATATAGAAAAATTAAAATATTAAAGAAATTAAAAGAAATACTAAAATATTATGTCATTCCACATCCAAAGTAGAGCTAATGTTGATATATAAAATATAATTTTTAAAACAATTCATTAATCAAAAATGTTTCACAAATTTGGTGTAGTGCAGTCTTTTACTGTATCCCTTTAGTTGAAGAGAAAAACAAAACCCAAACTAAAGCAGGACTTCAGTAATCACAATAGAAATAAATACCAAGTAAAAATACAGAAATCATAACCTAGGATAGTGTTTCATGGGGAAAGGAGACCTAAGGTGACTGGATATGGATATGTACCCACTAGCTAACAGTTTATGACAAATGAAACATATTTAAGTAGCCTAATTCTCTTTCTGATTTAATAGGATCCAATAAATGGAAACTGTATGGCCAGAATAATGAAAAGAGCACAAAATTTATCTCATTCTGTTGCGTCCTCTCTGTGTTCTTTTGTCCTTTGATTGCACTGGTGGATAATATTATTTTGTTCCCAAGGAAATATGTCCCTTTGATTAGGTTGCAGATATTCTCTCATTTGTCACTGTTCTATCAAGCTATGCCATGTAACAGCAGGAACCCTTGATTATTTAATTGCTTGTAAGAACTCATTAAATCTTACTATCAATCATTGGACATATGGCAAATATCACCCAATGGCATGAGAGGTTTTAACAGTGATCTGTCACTGGGGCATACCCTTTCTCTAGTAGTATAGGCCCTTTGTTTAGTTCTCTGATCATAATAATTTTTAATTAATATTGATTTGTAAAAGAGTGTTCATGCAGTGGCCTTAATCTATGGGTGCAAGGATAATCTTCTAACAGGAGCATTTGTAATTTCATATAAATATCCAGGAACCCCATCTAAGAGAGTTTAACCTTTTTAAAATGTTTTTTAGATCGTGTTAGTCTGATGATAACCTAATTTAGTCTTCAAAGTGGATACGGTTCATTAAGAAAAACATATAAAAACAAGTCACACCATAGGTTTTGCATCAACACCTTGATGGGATCCTATGAGCTATCTCTGATGATATAAATGCAAAAGACATTTTTCAAAATAGAGAATATTAGCTATAGCTAATAGTAGTAATGACCTGTGCAGCTACTTTGAGAAAAATTTCGATTCAACATTTTTGCAACCAGAACTTTAGCAACAGCTAATTTTACCTGAAGAGGTTCAAAATTAAGTCATGCTCTAAAACTAAACCAACTTTTAAATATGAAAGTTCACAGCAGTTGACAATGAAACTACTCCGTCTTTGCAATCATAAAAAGAGTGTATTTGGCCATTTTCTTCTTATGACTACTCTTTTACTCTAGTGGACCCACAACCTCTTACATACTTTGTTCTTAGTATTACTTGGAAGTTGCAGGAAGCAAAAGAGAAAAGTCCAACCACAAAACACTTCTTTGATGATTATATTTAACAAAAACCTTGCTTTCATATTTCTTATTCTTGATATGCTGCTATTTGGAGATAAAGCCAGGGTATCTAAGCTACTACTTTGTAATAACTTTGTCAAAAATCCCCTTTATTTTGAAAATTTTGAGTCTATAATCTAAGAATAATTGATAGAGAAAAGTGGAAACTGGAAGATTTCCATCTCTGAGTCAGGCTTCTATTCACACATGCTACCTGTGACACGCCACGCTCTTTATCTGAGGTGCAGCTGCCTTTGTAAGATAACACATACCTCTCACCAGACCAACAGTTTAGGTTTGGGAAGGGTGGCTTAAGTTCTAAAATTCGTATGCTCTTGGAACAAATTTTTGGATATGGATCACAGCTGGTGTCAATGCCAATTTGTTTTGTGGTTTTGGTTCAGTGGGTGAGATCTATAAAAGAAGTAGAGATTTGAGTGTATAGAAATAGTAAAGAGCCAGACACCTTGCTTTAATACAGAGTGAAAGGACAGCTGTGAGAAGTAAGAGCATTAGAATCTTATTTATTGCCTGAGATATGTATCTGCACTTCTAGATATGGAAATTATTAAAAAGAGAGGCAGAAAAAGAAAAAATAATTTTGAGGCTGGGTTTTTCTGTGTGTTAGTTTCTCAGGTTACATTTTGTTTTCTGGACTTCTGCCTCTACATATTTCTGTGTATTCATCCCTGTTCTGTTAATAGCAGTATTGTACCAGGCATCTATAATATGTCTTATTTTATGTTGTGTAATGATCATATCATAGCTTTTTTTAAAAAAAATAATCTGCTTTATGCTTTCCTGAGGACTTATGTTGACGCCCACATTTTGAAATAATTATATTGATTTAAAAATCTATAACAATTATTTTTAAACTTAGTTTCTGAATCTTTGGTTCTTTTCCAAAGTGGATTCACCTACATCTAAATAGCTGTATGCATACATACAGCCTTGAGGACAGATTATTCAGGTGTTTTGTATTCTCTGATAAAGTGAAATCTAATTCATTCCTGTAGAGGCAGAACTCAGTCCTGTAACAAGAGGAAAATCTTCATGATAAATATTCAGCTACAACTATTATGTACTTAACATTATTAGAGCAGTATAAGGGATGTAAAAGAGTCATTTTCCTTTCCTGGAAAACACTATAAGACTGCCTTGAGATTCCTCTAAGCAGTGCTGCCTATGAAAAACTATCCCAAGGAGCACAGCAGATATCATGGCTCATGAGAGAGCTGTTTGGGAAATTTTTTGATAAATACATACAATTTAATTATTATTTTGATTTGTAGTTTACATAAACTTGATACAGTAGATAAATCACAAATTTCAGTGATTTTATAAGCATTTATTTACGGGGTTTGGTCCCAATTCCTCACTTTTTCCAGGTTGTGACATTGATGGAATCCTTTTGTGCTTTTTACTTTTCTTTTCCTAAAGCTTAATAATTATAAAATGATAATAATATGGTGAGACAATAAAAAAGCTTTGTATTCTGTTTGAAATTTTGAGCAGACTCGTTGGCATTTTAGCTGAGAGTTCAGTTATTTCATTTATTGTACAGAAATGGGTCCATCTGACTTACTTCTCAGGAAGATAGTGATAAAGACCTCTTTTGCCAACTGGCTTGGGACCATGCAAGGGAACTACTTCATTAACCATTCAGAGATACTGGAAACACCTTATTTTCCCAATAAACAGTTTAAACTTAAGGACTCCACAGACAGCCTCTTAACAAGAACTACAATACATTACAGTAACTTCATTACTTCCAAGGTAGGCTGGAGTGCCATTTCAGGAGTAATGAATGATGCTTTAAGGTATCAGGCAGATGCCCTAAAGACAGTGAGATTATGCCATGAAATACAGAAAGTCTTCCAGGAAGCAAATGAATAAGCTTTGCTAAGGGAGAATAGAATAAAACCCATTAAAACCCATTAAAGGAACCCAAACTGTAGACAGAAGGTAAGGAAGGATTGATTTTTTTTGTAGCTGTAAAGGCAATAGAATATCTATTTATTAATTAAAAGTACATTTTATGTATTGTGATGTGATAAATTGTTGACTGTTTAGGTGAATTACCTCAGAAATGCACCTAAGGCTATTAACATTGATAAATTATGCACTACTACTTTCTAAATTTCTGAAACAGTCTTCACAAGAATGCTCAACTTTATTTTCAGTTTTAAGCAGCATTTTTGTGTAATCATATCCGACATTTAACTACTGCCACTAAAAGCTTCCTAGCCAGAAAAAAAGCCAAGCTTTCACAAACAGCTTTAACTCTCTTATTTTTCCCTGTTTTCCTGTAAAATATACATACATATGAAATATAAAGTGCTCTATTTTGACAGAATCTGATGAAAAGAACTAACATACTCTCAGCTATATATTCTCTTGGCATAATATTTCCTATAACTGGGGAATGCTAAAACAAGTAACCTCAACCTGAAAGAAATATTTGAAATGTGAAAATGACATTTTTTGTGTATAAATAAACACAAAGAGAAAACTGAAGGTGCATCTGTGTAAATAAATCTATATATTCTCACACACTAAAGTTCTGAGAAAATACATTAATCTCTGGGGTTTTTTTCTTCTAGGATACTAAGTCAGCTATAGAAGAAAAACAATAAATATTTTTCATAAATGTTGTGCATCTGAACATACAACATTTTAGGTTCAATATCTATATTTTGTCCATATATATATATATATAGTGTCTGTATTCTGATATAGACATGTATTCTGTGTACTTATTAAAGAGTTTATATCTAAAAATGAGACATCTATCCAATACCAATTTAGAAAATTCAACTTTATATTTGTCGTCTTCTATAAATTTGAATGTGTGATTATGGGTATATGTGAGTGAGTGTGCATGTGTGTGTGTGTGTCTGTCTTGAAAAACAGGCCTTTTTTGTTACTCAGATGGTGATGGGGGGAGAATAATACCTTTATCTCACTATAATTTCTAAAGGCATTTAAAGGGTTCATGGTTTCAAATCAAAGAGCTATTCATAAGTTCCAATAAAATGCAATCCATCACAATTTTAGATGAGCAGAAGCTTTCAGCTTGTGCATATTTTGTCAGGAAGGCAATTTAAAGCTTATAAACACAAATCACTTCTTTGGGTTTTAACCACAAAACATTTACACAGTACTGACCTACAATATCTCAGTACGAAGCCAAGAAATAGAGCAGGCAGGACCAGGAAGCAAGGACCTGGAGACAGCATTTTATGTTAGAGTAGACCAGATGTTGGGGCCTCAATTCAGGAATTCTCAAAAGATTGAGAGTGAAAAAGATGTTTCCCTATGCTTACATCCCTTACCAGAGTGTATAGGACATAATAATTAAAATAGTAATTTGGATGACAGACATGTCTGAAGCAGGTTTATATATCCAGGAAGAAGGACTCTGAAATCATTTATTTGCTCTTTTTTTCCCCCATATATTTGATGGTTATGCTCATGAAATAACATGTACATTGACCAGATGCACAATGGTTGTGGTACCATAGCATCTCTGATCAGCAACTCATTTGGCTCAGTCTGTTAAAGAACCTTTGATGCATAAGGGTGAATCACTCTTAGAAAAAATTGTGAAGAAATATTATTCATTCTGTTTTACTGGAGGAGAACTGAAGCTCAGTGATGCTCTACTGTTTACCCAAGGTTACAATCATTTAAGTGGCTTACTCAAAGAGCTGGAATCAACCAGTCCTGTCCTAGTCTGTCTTAATGTGAAAACATTATTCTAATTTTATTTCATTTTTCCTGTTGTGGGAATCTTGAAAGTACAATTCAGATTCATCTTCCTAGGGAACCAGTATTCATAGACCCATGAATCATAAAATAATCTTTGTTGGATGGGAGATCTGTAGGTTATCATCTCCAACCATCTGCCCAAATCAAGACTTACTCAGAAGCTAGACCAGATTCAATAGAGCATAGTCCAGTCAAATTTTGAAAGCTTTGTTGAAAGCCCACAGACTTTGTTGAAAGCCCACCATTCCCATTGTGAGGAATTTTTTCCTTAAGTCCCCTTGTAAGGACTCACGATGCAACTTTTTATCATTGTCCTTTGTCTTTTCATTCTGATTCTTCTTCATTCTCCTTCAGCTTGCCGCCACCAGAATCCTGGTGTCTTTCTCTGCAGAGCTGCTTTCCAGACAGCTGGACCCCAACTCACACAAAGGCAAAAACAGAACTTCCCCCTAAAAAAAGATATAATCATTGAAATTTTAGAAGAAGATCTTCAATACCATCAGAACATGGCAATGCAGTCTGACAGTTGCTAAATATCCTGTGTTTCCCATTAAGATTAAGGAGGATTTCAGACCTCAAACCTTTAGCTCTTAAAAAGAAACCAAGTGAATTATGGTAAAAAAAATCACTTTGTAAGAGAAAAGTGGAGAACTTGCAGCTCTTTGGAACACACACTGATATATTCTTTAGCAGCAACATTGTTTCATTCCAAATAGTCACAAGTCAGCAAAAGACAAATTTACTGTTATCTTTCACTTGATTCTGTTACAATGTCCCTGAGATTTATAACTCCCACACTGTATCTTTATCCCTTTCCTAATGTTAAACTGTTATCCTCTCTCCCCCTTTTTCTTCTTTGATTTTTAATTATTTTTTAAATTTTTATTTTAGGTCCATGTACTTTCAGCATTTCAAAAGGCTGCATATTTATTCTGGAACTGTTAGCTGCTACTGCATTGTTTGCATGCTTGAATCATGGTCCAACATGAATATTTTGTGTTATAAAGCATAATAAGGAGCCAACCAAAAATCTGCAGGAATGGTTATTCTAAAATCTTTTTTTGATTTGATGCTAGTAGATTGTTTCAAAAATTCACATCTACTTTTCTGTGCACAAACTTCGTATAAAAATGGTGGTTGAAGTTGGATTGTTTATAAAGCATATACAACTCTAACTTGTCTTAATCTAATTTACATTTTAAAACGTTTGCTGTTTCAATTAAATTTGTTCTGTTCCTGCCATGGATATGTGGGAGAACAATGTTTAAAATAATAATTCTTTCCTCTTTCAGGTAGCCAAACATAGAATAGTTCAGAGTAAGTTGGGAGAAGAAAGAAAATAGGCCTGGATTCACTTTGGTTAAAGTAGTGTCACATACAGAATCAATATATGCACAGTAGGAGCTTTGGAACAAGCACACATGTCCTGATAAATAAAGGAAAGAAAGTAGTCACAGAAACTCAAGCTACTTCTAAGCGCAGAACGTAGCTGCAGAGGGAGGAGATGAAGAGACAGAGCCACTACTGCTGGAACAGAGACTTGTTGCCATGGGAGCGGGGCTAAGGAAAGCTGGTACCCTGGAGGCAGTGACTAGGGACAAGAACAAAAAGGAGAGGGATAAGAACTTGGAACACTGCACATACAGCGAACAGACTCATGCACACATTCCCCTGTACTTTAGGAAGCCCAGGCTGCCTTATTTCCAGCCCACGTAATCACAAGCATGATGGGGCCAAGGCCAGAAAGGCAAAATTTTGCAAGGAGAATATCAAGTAGCTGTTACAGAAGTAGATGGTTTTTTCTGACCAGTCTGAAATTTGTAGTTCTCTCTTCCCTTTGAGCTCATTTTAAAACACACATGGTATTGACATACAAGGTGAATATCCATGCTCACAGTCTCATAACTTCTGGATCACTAAGGAAAAAACAAAGCCATTTATCCACAGAAACAGAAGATTCACAGTTTCTTGCCTAGCAAGTCATACATTTTCTCATAGGAGTACAGTGACAATTCTAATACTATGAGGGTTTGGCTTATACAGAAATATAATTTTTAAAAACCTTGCTAAATATTTCTACTGACATTTTTCAGTAAAATATAGCACAAAAATTCAAGCAATATTCTCATGTCATGGGACATTATCATGCTCCAACAGGGATAAAATTGTTATAGAATTTAACTATGGTATTTTTAGTTTTGAAGTAAGTAACTTTAAATTAGGTTGCCATTTCCTGTCTAAAAATCATATATTGCAATTGACCATTTTCCCAAACAGCAGGCATTTTATATGGAAAAGATCAGCAAAGAAGCTTTTCTTCTTTGTGTTTTCCAGGCACAGAGGGTAAAGATGTTTGTTTGTTTTGCATGCTTACATATCAAACTTTAAACCCTCTACCCTGTGGTTTACCTGCATGATTTTGTTCTCCAAACCCCTCACTTTGTAACATTTTTTGAAAGTGTATAGTAATAAAAACAAGCAGGAGTTGTCAGTGCAGCAAAAAAAAATAAAACTGCCTGTTATATGCAAAGTATGTCTTTAATGATGTTTAAAAAGGAGCTAAACATCTCTATGGGAATTCTTAAAACACTTATCTCTTAGGCCCTTATTTAGTTTTGCAAGTCTTTGTTGTTTAACAAGCTGAAGAAATGGGTCATCTAATGTTATATTAATCAGTAAATTAATATTTTAATTTGATTTTCTTTATAGTTGAGATGCTTGCGGCATCTCCAGTGTTTTCTCTCTCTGTACACTGATGTTAAGCAGTATCATTATCATACTGTACCTTGGGGTTGTGAGATAACAGGGTCCAGTGATAGCTCTATTCTTAGGAGAGTGGGAGGTTTATGATGACACTTGTACATTTTAAATGGCACATGGAGGCTCTCGTGCAATGAAATGTCTTACAGCTGAGTCATAGGCTTTTCTACGTTGGGCTTTTCAGTTCATACACTTGAAATCACAAACTTTCATGTCTGAGTGGGTGATACATTTTGCCAATTTTTTGATAAGATCTTTGCAGTGTGCTGGAGTAAAAATTTCAATGATTTGGTTTTTTGTAACTAGTCCTATTTTGAAAACTTTTGATAAGTTACAAGAGATATGACTATCAATAGATTAAAAGGAGAGAAAATGAAAATTAGCAATTTTTATTTGGAGCTTAAGTTCCTGTTAAATCAATTTTTTTCCAATATTCAGTCAGTCAAACAATAAGTCAAATAAAACTTGTTGGCAGAAGGAGACACAAACTTTTAACATTATCAGCTCTAATTACCTTTCCGAAATGTGCTTGGAAATTCAGAATTTTGGTTAGATCACACAAGACTGTCCTGTCCCTCGTGCATCTTCACAAGAGCTGACATTTCTCCTTTTTGCTCCCTTATGCATGACCTTTAAACAGGTCAAAATAGTGCTAAGATGGAAATGGTTCACAGGTTACTGTTAGGTGAGTACAAAGGAAGAAACAGTCTTTGTTCCTTTTACCTCCTTAGTCACAATCTAACCTTCTCACCTTCTCCTTTCCCCCCAGACTCCATAATTGAGGATATTTACTACACCAAAGATCCCATGCCTAGTTCAGGCCCCCTCCCTCTGTTACAAATACACAAATCACACGTCCCAGTGCGTGCTCTCTCTGGTCCAATGGTAAGTTACATGTCTGAGTGAAAATATATGCTTGGTGATACCCTCACATACCAAGGTCAAAGCAAATCACATTCACACATTCCATATCACACTCGGTTTACTGGCCATACCTCAGCAGAAGCACCATAACCATATATGACTCTGAAACAGCCAATACTTTATTGTTTCTTCAGCTTCACTGGCTTTGTTACATAGTCATTCACAAAAATGCATCCAAATGCAGGTTCTACTTGTGCTTGCAATTGGGCAAGTGCAAAATTGGCTCAGGAGGAATGGAGGCACAGTGCCAGTTTCCTTCTCTCCCTCTTTTTTTTTAATTTTTCTTTTTCTTTTTAGTTTTATTTTTTAAATAATTTATTAATGTGAAATGACATTTTAAGCACTGCATAGCATAGGATTCTGGGTTTGGGGACTGAGTCATGTCTGGCAACCCTTACTCTCAGTCAGAAGCATTTTTTCCTGTCTCAGAATAGTGGTACCAGCTTTTCAAAAGATAAATCTGCCTGGATTGAGTCAGCCTCGAGGCCAGAAATGTTGTGTGGGCTGTTGGCTGGATGACTGCATCAGAATGTTTTGAAGTTAAAATAAATGGAAGAATCTAAATGAACGTGCTTATTATTTTAGCATAATAATAGAGTTAATAGATAATCTTACACTACAAGATCCATGAAAATTTTTGTGGTGGATCATTGACAACTTGAGGGAACTCAACTTTTGATTGGTACTAGTTTTCTGTGAGGAAAGTACTCACTCATTTTTAACAAAAGCCTATAAATAGAATGACAAATGCCTGAATTAGTTTTGAATTAGAATGAAGTTCTGAGTCTTATTCAATGTCAAAATCCTTTTGAATTCAAGAGTAGGCTTACCTCAGTTTTAATATGAAGGACTTTTCTAAAAGTATGAAACTTCAGAGGTGTTTGGCTTCATTGTGAACATTTCACACATCTCTAGCTATCATGTTGTTAAAGTCAGCACTTGCCAGTGTCAACAGAATGAGCTCGTTACACACCACTGTTCAGGGACAGGTTTGGCGCCCTGTACAATTTTGAATTCTCATTTTTTTCAGCCTTCTCACAATCCAGAAGCAGAAATGGACTGAATAAGCAGGAACAGCAGAGGTGTCTTAAAAAGATGGGTGCTCCAGAAGTGAGCATTCATTGAAAAAAGAGACAGTCTGCTTAAAGTAAACCAAGCAAACTAAGGGCCCTGGCTACTCTCCCGTCTTTACAACACATATGAAAAAACGATTTAGGAAAAGTTTCTTCCTTTATAAACTTAAAAAATAGATTGAAACTCCGATTCTTCTGTCCCAAAAGCACAGCAATATTTTCTCTCTCTATTGATTATCAGTCCACTTCGGTTGAAAACAGTCCTGACTAAGATCAAAATCGCATTGAAAAGATGACTTTAAACCTGATAAAGTACCAACACCACTGCACTATGCTATCAGATGGGTATTTTTGGAAAATGAAAGTAAATCAATATTAATAATATAAACCAGAAATTGATTGATTTTGCCATTAAAATATGTAATGGTGAAAGAGCCCATATCTAATTATTTCTGTTAAAGTCTGCAAGTAACATATTAATTAAACTGGATACATGAAAATATTTGAAGACATTTGTAAGACTTACTTGGGTCAACCAATTTTTAAAAGCAAAAGTTCTGCCATTAATAAGATGCTGAAAGATCAGAGCTGTTAAGCAATAAGGATGAAAGTCACACAAAAGGATGACTATGAGAAATTTGAAAAAAAAAAGAATTTGCAGACTCCATCATTCTCTGTCTCTTACAGTCTAA